CTCAGCACCACATAAGCAAAAAGAAAAAAGCCGGAAGTGGCGCTGTGGTTCAAGTGGTAGAGCACTAGCCTTGAGCTGAAGAGCTGAGGGACAGCGCCTAGGCCCAGAGTTCATGCCCCATGACCGGACTAGAAAAAAACAAAACAAAACAAAAGTGGTAGAGTGCTAGCCTAGAGCAAAAGGAGTTCCGGGACAGCACCTAGGCCCAGAGTTCAAGCCCATGACATTTCTGCTCCTCACATTTCCAATCCTACAGATCTTAGAAGTGGAACTACTGGCTTAACTGGTTAGAACATTTATTAAAGTGTCCCAAATGCATGCTGTCTGCTGCTCCCTGAAAGATAGCTCTAGGTTTTGCTCTGCGGGTGTGGTTCTTGCTATCACTAGTGAGCTGCTGCATGTCTTGAGGTGCTCTGCTGCTCTCACTTGGGGTGCCAGCACCCATGCCTGGCTCTGCTTCCTCCCAGGATCTTCCTTACTGCCGCAGTTGCCCAGTAACTCTGGCTGGACCACGCATCCCTGGGCTACCCCTGGAACATGGCAGACGAAGACCTTATCTTCCGCCTGGAAGGCGTCGGTGGCGGCCGGACCTCCCAAGTGGGCCGAGATGGAGACTCTGATTTGGACAGCGATGATGAGGATGGTTACTTCATCTGCCCCATCACTGAGGATCCCAGGTCCAACCAGAATGCCAACTCTAAGGTTGATAACTTCTACAGCCTAAGGAAAAGCGAGCAGAATGGTTCCTGCGAGTCCCCGGCCAGCTCCTTCCACTTCAAGGTGAGTAAATACCCCTGTCCCTGCCCAGCACCCACCTCACCTGCCAAGATGGCTGATGTTTACTGGTCGGAGTCTGAGGTTTCACCTGCTAACCTGGGAGGAGTCTGTATCCCCCTCTCCCTTAAAGGGATGTTTTCCATATATATTCAAAACTTGTCAGTGAGACTTACTTGTCTAGCTTTTTTTATTTTGTGCTGGTCCTAGTTTGAACTCAGGGCCTTGGTGCTGTCCCTGAGCACTTTGCTCAAGGCTAGTGCTCCAGCAATTTGAGCAACAGCTCCACATCCAGTTTTCAGGTGGTTAATTGGAGATAGAGTCTCATGGCCTTTCCTTGGCTTCTATTGGCTTTCCTCAGTTCTCAGCCTACTGAGTAGCTAGAATTACTGGCATGAGCCACCAGCACCTGGCTTCCTAGCTTTTTCATTCAAGGCTAGCACTCTACCACTTGAGCTACAGCTCCACTTCTGGCTTTTTTGGTAGTTAATTTGAGAAAAGAGGCTTTTCTCAAAGGTTTTTGTGCTCAGGTTGGCTTTGATCCATAATCCTCAAATCTCAGTGTTTTGAATTACTAGGATTACAAGTGTGAGCCACCAGTGTCCAGCCTATCCAGGTTCTTTTACAGTCATGGAACAGAACAGAAATAGAAAACATTGGAGAACATTGCACACTATGAACATACTACTCTTGAATGTGGGTTTATATACAGTGACAAAATTGGTGAGCATATCAGTTGCTTATAGTTAGCAATTTCTTTGTTTTTTTAAAAAGAGGGGGCTGGGAAGGTAGCTCAGTGGTAGAGTACTTGCCTTGCATGCATGAGGCCCTGGTTTCGATTCCTCAGCACCACATAAATAGAAAAAGCCAGAAATGGCGCTGTGGCTCAAGTGGTAGAGTGTTTGCCTTGAGTTGAAGACCTGAGGGACAGCACCCAGGCCCATAGTTCAAGCCCCGTGCCTGACCAAAAGGAAGGAAGGAAGGAAATTAGTCAGAGCCAAGCATGGAGAGCTAGTGCCTGAAATTCAGGAGGTTGAAATCCAAGGATCTCAGTTAAGTCACTCAAATTTAAGAGACCCTCATTTCCAGTTAGCCAGGAAAAAGTCAGGATTGGAAGTGTGGCTCAAGTAGTAGAGATCCAGCTTTGAGCAAAAAAAAGCTGAGTGAGTTCAAGGCCCTAAATTCAAGCCCCAGTACCAGCGCAAAACAAAGAACAAGGTAAAATTCAAAGTAAGGTAGCACTGCTGCTGTCATTTAACTGATGTTTTCAAACACCAAGTATCTGTTAACACTATAAGCAAAAGTTCTATTGGCGTTTGGGATTTGAAATTAAAACCATTCTTTTATAACTTCAGAATTAGTCTGTACTTAGCAAATCAATAATTTTGTTTTCAGGGATGACTGTGTAACTTTTTTTTTTTCCTTTCAGGACAGAGATCTAGCCTAACTCAGGCAGGCAGCTCCAGAAATAGCCTTGTAGGTCTCCTCTGGGGTTGGGGGGGGGTCCTGAAGGGGTTGGATGCAATTTATATCACTTCCCTTCCTGAAGAAGCTTTGTACGGAACTCCCAGCCTTGGGAATGGGGGTAGGGGGAGTCGTGGGAAGGAGAGATGTTCAGACAGCTCAGCTGTCCATCAGGAGGGGGGCAGTATGTGTGTGCACGTGCCGGTCCTGGACCTTGAACTCAGGCTGAGGTTCTGTCCCTGAGCATGACAGGAAGGGTCTTTTTAAAAAGTGACAGACATGGTCCTGACAGGATATTGAATTTACTCTAAAACAAGGGGCAAAAAGAAAAAAGCCGGAAGAGGCGCTGTGGCTCAAGTGGTAGAGTGCTAGTCTTGAGCTGAAGAGCTGAGGGACAGACAGCGCCCAGGCCCAGAATTCAGGCCCCACGACCGGACCCAAAAATAAATAAATAAATAAAACAAGTATAATGATCTTGGTTGGGCACCAGTGGCTCACACCTGTAATTCTAACTAAGCAAGAGGCTGAGATCTGAGGACCAAGGTCTGAAGCCAGCCTGGGCAGAAAAGTTCATGAGACCCTTCTCTCCAATTAACCACCAAAGAGGTGAAAGTGGTCGAATGCTACCATTTAGACCCTGAGTTCAAGCCCCAGGACTGGCACAAATTAAACCAAACAAAAAAGAAGCCATTCTATGTGACTGGACAGTGCCTATAAATATTTCAGGGTCTATAGGTAGGACTTAGTGCTAGAGTGCTTGTTTTATATGCAGGAAACCCCAGGTTTGACCCCCAGAAATGTAAAAAATAATAAGCAAATAAAAGGAATAATAAATTGTATATGTTGTATATGTGTCTGAGGAAATGCTATGTGAAAACCCCTTGAAACAGTGTTGGTCCATAATAGGTAAAAAAAAAAATTAGCTATTAAAATTGCTGGTGGCTCACGCCTGCAATCCTAGCTACTCAGGAGGCTGAGATCTGAGGATCGCGGTTCAAAGCCAGCCCGGGCAGGAGAGACCGTGAGACTCCTATCTCCAATAAAAACCACCAGAAAATTGGAAGCAGCGCTGTAGCTCAAGTGGTAGAGCGCTTGCCTTGAGCTGAAGAGCTGAGAGACAGTGCCCAGGCCCAGAGTTCAAGCCCCATGACCGACAAAAAAAAAAAAAAAAAAGAGCAATGGGTTAGGAGCAATGGGTGACAGTGTTGTCAGACACCTTGTATTCATATACTGTTTTGTAGAATGGGAACTTGTTTGTACAACTACTTAAAGATAATAATAATAATAATAAATATTAAGGGCAGGGAAGGTGGCTCAGTGGTAGAGTGCTTACCTTGCATGCATGAGGCCCTGGGTTCAATTTCTCAGCACCACATAAGCTGAAAGAGCCGGAAGTAGTGCTATGGCTCAAGTGGTAGAGCAGGAGCCTTGAGCTGAATCGCTGAGGGACAGTGCCCAGGCCCAGAGTTCAGGCCCCATGATCAACAACAAAGGTAGAAAAAAATTAAAGGGCTGCGAAGGTGGCTCAGTGGTACAGTGCTTGCCTTGCATGCATCAGGCCCTGGGTTTGATTCTTCAGCACCACATAAACAAAAAGAAAAATGCTGGAAGTGGCGCTGTGGCTCAAGTAGTAGAGTGCTAGCCTTGAGCTGAAGAGCTGAGGGATAGTGCCCAGGCCCAGAGTTCAGGCCCCACGACTGGACCCCCCAAAAAAAAATTTAAAAAGGCTTTGGGGGCTGGTAGCTCATGCCTATACTCCTAGCTACTCAGAGTGCTGAGAACTGAGGATGGCAGTTCAAGGCTAGCCTTGTAGATATATCTGTGAGACTCTTTTTTTTTTTTGTGGGTTGTGGGTCTTGAACTCTGGGCCTATGCACTGTCCCTGAGCTCTTCAGTTCAAGGCGAACACTACCACTTGAGACATAGCACCACTTGTGGTTTTCTGGTGGTTAATTGGAGATAAGAGTCTCAGACTTTCCTGCCTGGGCTGGCTTTTGAACCACAATCCTCAGATCTCAGCCTCCTGAGTAGCTAGGATTACAGGCATGAGCCACCGGCAGCCCAGCTGGAGAGACTCTTATCTGCAATTAATCCACAAGTAGCCAGAAGTGAAAGTGTGGACTCAAATGGTAGTAGAGTGCCAGCCTTAAATGAAAAAGCCATATAAAAGCACAAGGTCCAGGGGCTGGGAATGAGGCTTAGTGGTAGAGTGCCTGCCTAGCATACATGAAGCCCTGGGTTCGATTCCTCAGCACCACGTAAACAGAAAGCTGGAATTGGTGCTGTGGCTCAAGTGGTAGAGCAAAAAGAAGCTCAGGGGCGCACACACACACACACACACACACACACACACACACACACACACACACACACACACACACA